AAAAAAAATAAATAAATAAGATTACTAGATAACACTTATCCAATGCTGGCCATATACCAGGCCCTGTTCGAAGTGTTTCACCTGGCCACTCATCGACGCCTCACCATAGCCCCGTGACTACTGTCACCCCCAGAGTTGGGGAGACAGGCACAGGGAGGTGAAAGGACTTGCCCAACGTCACACCTCCTTAGTGGTGGGCCAAGGGTCAAACCCAGGAAGCCGAGGGCAGCCAGCACCCCATGCAGAGCAGGGCTGTCTGCGGGCCTCCTTTCAGCTGCTCTTCCATCCGGGCTCACCCCTGCATCCGCTGCTCTGCAGAGGCCCGTCCCCCTACTACACTTCCCTCCCCTGACTCTCCCAGCCTCATGCTCAGCCAGTCTTCCTCCCGTGAAGACCTGTCCTGGCTGAGCCAGAAGTGGTTTCTTTCTTCGCAAGGAGGGGAGAGCTGCAAATGCTCACTCAAAGTTGTGTCTTTTCTGTTACGCTGGCGGGTGCCTGGTTTGACCTAAGTCCCTTTGCCACTTTCCCAAGGCCTCTGCCAGCCCAGGCCCAAGTGCTGGTGGCCCACGCTGGCCCGCACCTGCCGCGGGCTCACCCTCCGCCGCGCCCTTGCAGGTACCAGCTGAAGCTCTTTGCCCGCATGTGCCTGGACCGCCAGTACCTGGCCATCGACGAGATCTCCCAGCAGCTGGGTGTTGACCTCATCTTCCTGTGCATGGCAGACGAAATGCTGCCCTTTGACCTGCGCGCCTCCTTCTGCCACCTGATGCTGCACGTGCATGTGGACAGGGACCCCCAGGAGCTGGTCACACCGGTCAAGTTCGCCCGCCTCTGGACCGAGATCCCCACAGCCATCACCATCAAGGAGTGAGATGGGGAGCAGAGGGTGGGCCAGGCGAGGCCAGGGTGGGAGGATCTCAGCGACCCTCATGCCTCACTGCCTCCCCCCGGCAGCTATGATTCCAACCTAAACGCCTCTCGCGACGACAAGAAGAACAAGTTTGCCAGCACCATGGACTTCGTGGAGGACTACCTCAACAACGTGGTCAGCGAGGCCGTGCCCTTTGCCAATGAGGAGAAGAACAAGCTCACCTTCGAGGTTGCTGGGCAGGGGGGCGGCGAGGGGCTGGTGCTGGGGGGCTCTGGTTAGCCCCCTCAGCTGCCCCCAGGGGCGCTTTGGGGGCTCCATGACCTCACTTCCCTCCGTGCCCCAGCCAGTTCAGGGAGCCCGCATAGATCGCCAGGACTCCCCAAGTGGAAAACTTCTCCCCTGCCACCTGGGAGAGGGCTGCCTCCCCATGGTCCACTCACCGCTGCAGGCCCTCCTGGGTCACGGGCTCCTGCGGGGAGCACCCCACCTTCCTGCGTTTCTGCCCTATCCCGCCCCCACCCCCCAGTAGCCTTCCTTGCCGGCCTCGCTTCCTCATTAGCTGACTGGGGGCGGCTGTGTCCTCACAGCCCCGTGCTCCCAGAGGCCCTGCCTTTTCCGAGGACCTTCGTCACCTCCTCCTAACACCCGCTCCGCCCTACTTTCCCTTCCTGGCCCCGCCCTTCTCGAGGCCCCGCCCCGCTCACCTCGGCCCCGCCCCCCCCCCGCAGGTGGTCAGCTTGGCGCACAATCTCATCTACTTCGGCTTCTACAGCTTCAGCGAGCTGCTGCGGCTCACTCGCACGCTGCTGGGCATCATCGACTGCGTGCAGGGCCCCCCGGCCATGCTGCAGGCCTACGATGACTCAGGCGGTGAGGCTTAGTGGCCAAGGCCACCCCCCCCTCGCCCCCGCCCCAGCCTTGGCCTTCCTCCGTCTCCTCCTAGTGCCAGAGTCCTCTCTGATCAGCCCCCTGTGCAGCCTGTCTCCTGGCCCCTGCTGGACCAGAGGGGCCCCTGTCCAGGCGCTGTGGAGATCCCGGGGTCTGGGGGAGTTGCCTTCCAACACAGCTTGGTCCTGAGGGGAGATAATGAGGGAGGAGGGGAGACCCAGGCCCTGCCTGAGGAGCTCCCAGTCAGACAGGGGAGTGGTCGAGCAACAGCCCCGCCATCGAGGAGCCACTGGTCTGACAGCAGACACAGCCCTGCCCTCGGGGACACCCCCAGGGGGCATAAACTCCTCTAATCAAAAAGCGCATAGTCTGACACCTGGTGCGTAGTGCTCCCCACACGGTGTCCCCTCTGTCCCCCATGCTCTGTAGCAGCATCTCAGGATGCCCCACAGGAGAATTCTCACTCATCTCCCCACACAGTTTACCTTTGCTCTGGCCAGCCCCTCTTTGCCCAGATTTGGCTTAAAGCTCACCTCCCCCAGGAAGCCTTTCTGGGTGAGCCCTGCCTCTGACAGAGACAGAGTCAGAGTCAGACCCAGGGGTCCTGCTGTGCACCCCTGTGACCCCCTGGTGCTTCGCACTCCGCAGGCAAGAACGTGCGGCGGTCCATCCAGGGCGTGGGCCACATGATGTCCACCATGGTGCTGAGCCGCAAGCAGTCTGTCTTTGGTGCCCCCAGCCTGTCTGCCGGTGCTGGTACCACCGAGCCACTGGACAGAAGCAAGTTCGAGGACAATGAAGACATTGTGGTGATGGAGACCAAGCTGAAGATCCTGGAAATCTTGCAGGTGGCTAGGCCAGGACAGCGCTGAGAGGTGTTGGGAATAGGGCAGGAGAGTGGGGCCCGGGGCAGGGAGGCTGGGGGGTGAACCCCTGCTCAGATCACAGTATCCAGTACTGGAGGGCTCCACGGTGATTGGCTGTGTAGCCCAGTGGTTTCCAAAGTGTGGTCCTTGGACCAGCAGCAACGGCCTCACCAGGGAACTCAGAAACGCATGTTCTTGGGCCCCACCCCAGACCTCCGTACGGATCCGAGACACCCGAGGCAGGCCCACAGTCTGTGCTGTGACAAGCCTCCCAGGTGATTCTGGTGTGCACTAAAGCCTAGCTCCGTCCCTCCATTGTACAGATGAGGAAAGGAAGAGGGGGAGGGGACTATACTGCCATCCTACAGACATTCTGGAGCAGAGCTAGAGCTTTGAGGGCCCATTTCCTGGTGAGGCAGACATGGTCTTTCCTGTTCTGGGTCTTGTCTGAGACGCGCTGGCAACACTTGGAGAAGGGGCTGGTAGGACCCCGGGAGTGGTAAGAATGCTTGCTTTTGCCCAGCTGCCACCAGAGGATGGGAAGGGTAATGCAGTGACCTCCATGGGGACCCAGTCTGGGCAGGGCCTGGTCAGAGGAGTCAGACCATTCTGATTCATTCTAGGAGCTGAGGGCTTCCAGATCTGCATCCTGGGGCGTGGCCAGAAGCTCTGCGCCCCATAAGGATAGAGACCAGTCAAGGGTCTCTGCGAACCCTCTGTCCTCACCCCCCCGACACTGGCCTCTCCTGCTGCCCCCTAGTCTTCAGTTCCACTGAGGCCAGTGTCAGGGGGGGTGAGGACAGAGGGTTAGGGAAGGAGGGACTGAGGGTCTCTGCCTCATTCGGAGAAGAGGTGTCATCCCTCATCACTGGGGCAGGAGTGGAAGAGAGGGCACTCTGGACCTCCCCGGGGAGAGGAGTCTTGATTTTTTAGGTTGTGATGTCCTATAGTAGCTGGAACATCTTTGCCGTAGACCCCTGAGTGCTAGAGCTCATTCAGGGTACCCCCTCCCCTCTCCTGGGGCACGACTGGCCTTCCGACCTCAGCCCAGTCCTCACCCCATCCCTCCCCGCTTCACCAGTTCATCCTCAACGTCCGCCTGGACTACCGCATCTCCTACCTGCTGTCCGTCTTCAAGAAGGAGTTTGTGGAAGTGTTTCCCATGCAAGATAGCGGGGCCGACGGCACCGCCCCGGCCTTCGACTCCACCAGTGAGCCCCCACCCCCACTTTCCCCTGCCTTCAGGCTGAGGCTGTGTGACTTGCCCAGGGGTACACATTAGTGGGGCGGAGGCTGGGGGACGCCCCGGGGCCAGCTCCCCAGCCCTGCCTCTGTTTCCCAGCCCATTTAATTGCCATGGTGAGAGGCGAAGGCAGACATCATTCTCTCCAACTCCTAAATGGAGAAACTGAGGCCCAGAGAGGGGCGGGGACTTGCCCGAGGTCACAGCCAATGAGAGGCTGAACCAGACTGGGACCCAGGTGCCCTGGTGCCCAGCTCAGAACTCTGCTCGCCCCCGCAGGGCAGTGGAGCTGCTCTGGTCCCTGCCCTGGCTGGCTCCACCCCCACCCTGGGAAGGAGCATGCAAGAGGGGCTGCCACCCAACCAGTGCTCCCTCACCCCTGTGCTCCTCATCTTTCCTGGGCACGGACCTGCCACCTGCCCCCATCCACCCACTCTTGCTCCCCACAGCTGCCAACATGAACCTGGACCGCATCGGGGAGCAGGCGGAGGCCATGTTCGGAGTGGGGTGAGGCCAGGGGTGAGGTGGGGGGTGGTGTGTGGGGTTGGGTGGGCAATGCTGACGCAGGTGTGAGAACCCCCCCTCCTTGGGGTCTCCAAGGCTGGGCTGGGGCTGGTCCCTCCTCCTGGGTCTGCAGGACCCTTACCAGGCTCTGGGGTGGGGCTCTCCTTGGCTCTGTGCTTTTGCCCTCTCATGCCCTGGTGATACAGGGGCCACTTGGGCCCTTGTGTCATCTTGGTCATTCCCCTGCCCTCACCCAGGGCAAGTGTGACTCTATTTGTGCATCTGGACTTGGGCTGGAGGGGAGCAGGGGGAGGTGTGGGGGAGAGCCCGCTGTACACAGGGCTAGGGTGGGGAGGGGGTCGCCCTGGGAACTGGGGGCTCTTCACCATTTCTGTGCCGCGCCCCTGGCATCTAGTGAAGCCCTGGGACCTGGGCTCAGAAGGGCATTTTTAAATTCATAAAATAAGGCACGTAAATTACAAAGGAAACCAAGAGCTTTGAGATGCAGTTATCAAAATATTGAAGAAAACAAATTTGAAGTGACAGTTAGCTATGTGGCTCTTTATTAACACATTAAGTAACAAGCTGGGCCGGGGGTGTAATTAGTACCGTGATTTCGAAGGCGCGATGCATGTGAACGGGATTCACAATTTCTGTAACAACGGTAAGGTGATGGGAGAACATCTGTGATTGGTATTGGTGTCAAAATCACAGGTACCGCTAATTTCTCCTCACTGAAGGAAATGCTGCATTCTAGTTAGAGGATGGTACAGCCGAAGATGGGAATTTCCCCCACCCCCGTTCCTGGCCCCAGCCAATCTCCACGAATCTCTATGATCTCTTGGGGTGGTGGTGGGGGGTGGGGGCCTGTGGGGGCCCTGTGAAGAGTCCCCGCTTCAGCTGCATCAGCAGGGGGAGTCCTGCAGGATCTCAGGGAACGCGGGGATCCCTCGGGGAGCTCAGGGCAGTGGTTGGTGACACCCTGGGGAGGTCCTCACTATTTGGAGCAAGTCTGACACCGGGCGCGGCATCCGCTAGTGGGTGGCCGGGCGCGCGCCGTTCCCTTCGGGCAGCGGGGAGCTTGGTGCCCAGCGTGCCCTCCCCTGGCGCCACAGGAAGACCAGCAGCATGCTGGAGGTGGACGACGAGGGCGGCCGCATGTTCCTGCGCGTGCTCATCCACCTCACCATGCACGACTACGCGCCGCTCGTCTCTGGGGCCCTGCAGTTGCTCTTCAAGCACTTCAGCCAGCGCCAGGAGGCCGTGCACACCTTCAAGCAGGTGCTGCTCCTGTCTGAGCCCCCGGCCGGCCCCTGGGGAGCGGGAGGGAGGCCCCAGGGGGCTTCCCTGGGCGGAGGGACCCTGAGGACCCGCCTGGCCCGGACACCGGGGGGTTAACCATGAGCGGGGAGCTCGCAGCTTAGGGGAGCTCAGGATGCTTCTTTGGGGGTTCTCGGCCTTGCTGAACTCCTGAAAGATGAAGGCCAAGTGTTGGCCACCTTTATGACCTCTCAGCCTGACTCAAGGCTTGTCGCTTTTTTTTTTTTTTTAATTTTTTATTTTTTTCTTGAGGGAGACAGAGAGCTCAGGCAGGGGGAGCAGCAGAGGGAGAGGGAGAAGCAGGCTCCCCGCGGAGCAGGGAGCCCCATGTGGGGCTCGATCCCAGGACCC